GACCACTTATCAAAGTAGTCTCAAAGTCTTTTAAAATTAACTCAAACCCGGCCAGGCGCGGTGGCTCACGCCTGTAATCCCAGTACTTTGGGAGGCCGGAGCGGGTGGATCACAAGGTCAGGAGATCGAGAGCATCCTGGCTAACACGGTGAAACCCTGTCTCTACTAAAAATACAAAAAATTAGCTGGGCATGATGGCGGACGCCTGTGGTCCCAGCTACTCGGGAGGTTGAGGCAGGAGAATGGCGTGAACCTGGGAGGCGGAGTTTGCAGTGAGCCGAGATTGTGCCACTGCATTCCAGCCTGGGTGACAGAGCAAGACTGTGACTCAAAATAAATAAATAAATAAATAAATAAATAAATAAATAAATAACTCAAACCCTTCTGTATGTGTCCTAAAGAATATTTTACATAACAATGTATCAGCACAGTGTCCTAATCCCCCAAAGATTGAGAACTTTAAAAAAGTCACTCAAAAATGGGAGAGAAACCTATCTACTCTTAAGAACAGAAGAGTGCCATAATGGTTAAAACAACTGGATTAAATATTTTCTAAGGTTTTTCTCCTTTAAAACTCTATGATTCTACATGTAGAAAAGCCCAAATGCTTACATTCCCCCAAGTTAGAGCAGCAGAGAGTGTTGAGAATATACTCTGTTCTGCCTTGTTGCCTCCTTTCATTTTCCCAAAGGGAAGGGAATGACTGGTATTACATATATTCCTTTTCTTCAAAGCTACTCTTACACATACAAGGATTGGCCAAACAATGTGACTTAAAAAGGAAAGCATCTTGCTCTGAACATCTTCCCATTGTGCCAAAAATCCCAGCATTCATTTGAATTTTAAGTTAACAGGCAAAACATGTGGAGGAAAAATTAGGGGTGGGAACATTTTAACTTAAAACTGTATTGTTTTAAATAAAGTAACTATACTTTTAAGAGGCCTGTGTGAAAGGGTAAAAGTAGGAGTAAAGAAGGTAACTTTGGAGGAGGAAAGGCACCGGTAGTAAAGCTCCAACAAATCAGAAGGCAGCATGAGAACACTGGGTTCCCAGAGACAGAGGGAGAAGAATGATAATATGTTGACACCAAAGGACCTGATTCCTGCAATTTTGCTTAATACTAGCTTTATTCCCTTCTACACCTACAAGCTCCAGCTGCAATTCAAACTTTAGGTCTTCAACATAATCTCCTTTATAGCAACAAGACAGAAAACAAAAAAGAATGTCCAGGAGGATGTGTACTACTCATTAGAGCCTTACTTACTGCAAAGGGCAGGCATATAAGCATCAAGCACAATATAACTATATTTGGCACAGAGAACAACAGAGAGTTGATGTGCTCCTTAAGAATCCAAGTGTGGCCGGCTGCAGTGGCTCACACCTGTAATCCCAGCACTTTGAGAGGTTGAGGCGGGTGGATCACGAGGTCAGGAGTTTGAGACCAGCCTAGCCAACATGGTGAAACCTCACCTTTATTAAAAATACAAAAATTAGCTGGGCACAGGGGCATGCACCTGTAGTCCCAGCTACTTGGGAGGCTGAGGCAGAAGAATCGCTTGAACCCGGGACGCGGAGGTTGCAGTGAGCTGAGATTGTGTCACTGTACTCCAGCCTGGTGACAGAATGAGACTGTCTCAAAAAAAAAAAAAAAAAAAAAAAAAAAAGTCCAAGTGCCTAGCAGAAAAGGAGCTACAGAAGAACTTGAGCATTATACGAAATATCTTGGATGCTGAACTCAAGTATGTCAAAGACTGAATACTGCTGTTCATCATTCTGGTATGACTGAGGATCAAATGAATGAATAGTAACTCTGGGCAGGGAGATCATAGGTACAAACTCTAAAGAGAAACATGAAGTTTGTACCATAAAATATTGGTGGTGGGTAGATGACTGAGTGACGAAGAGCTAAGAAAGTATTTAAGTGAAACTGAACTGATGGACAAGAAAAGAAGCTAAAGAGAATACAGAAAGGGAGGGAACCAGCTTATTAAGAGTAATAAGGACATTATTACTGATGGCATTACATACACTGTTTCTTTAAATCTTCAAACAACATTATGATATTAGTTCTATTATTATTACTATTTGTCTGATGAGCAAACTTAGGATGTAGAAAGGTTAATTTCTTCCAAACCATACACCTAGAAAGTTGTACAGGCAGGATTTGTGCCTACTTATGCACTTAACCAATAAACTGGGAGAATGGAGCTTAGAAAGCACGAGTGGGAAATCATGCCTTTTAGGAGGTGGAATATAAATAAAAGATTTGGCAGCTCTTGTGAGCTCACCTCTTTTATACTAGGAGTTTCCTTGCAGTGCAATAAAATTTACTTTTATGTCTGTACTGAGCTCATGGTTGCATTAATAGAGGGTAGAGGATGAGAAAGGATATTTCTGGAGGAAAAGTAACACTGGGAAATGGCTGTGGGGTACTCAGGCATTACAGGTGGGTGGCAGCAGTGGCAGAGTGCCTGTGAGAGCAGAAACAAGCTGAGGACCTGGCTGGGGTGTGTATTCCTGAAAGATCTGCTGAGAAGACCTCATGTATTTGCCAAAATACATACTGCTCCTAGGTTTTACAACCAAATATATATATATATATATATATATATATATTTTTTTTTTGTGACAGGAAAAGGGATGGAGAGGACTTTGTTAGAAATAAAAAGATTTTCTAGTGGAAAGAACAACTAAAATAATTTACTCAAACTTCCTTCCCTTTCTTTTTAAGGTGAATAGTATCTGTATGAAAATATCATATTAAGTATTTTTAATATCCTGAGCAGATTATAACATGCAATACCATTGTACATGAGGAGAGTTCTCTTTTCATCACACTATAGAATTAACCAAAGTAATTATTTGTTTCGAGAATAGCAAAACACTTATGGAAATGTGCAAACTTCAGTATAAATATTCCAAACATATTCAAAATCACTTTTTTGTTGCATAATTTTTAAACGTCTAGATTAAGAAGTTCCTTTAGCACAGTATTATGCTAACTACTCTTCTGACTATAAGTATTCTAACAAAACAGAAATAATGAAACATTTAAAAAATCTTCCCTGGTTTTAGAAACAGTTCTATGCACAGTATTTGCATTTGAATACATTTTATTTCCCCATTTCTCTAAAGATTAATGTTCAACAGGATAATAAATGCTTTAGGACAAGAATTACTGTGCCATTTAATGTGGAATAGAGAGAATGTTATTCCAGAAGTAAAGAGAATGAATGATATACATTTAACAGGACTTCTAAATTATTAAATTGATAGAATTCAGGAGAGAAAGTGATAATGCAGTCAATTTATAGTGCATATAGTGCATATGTTAACTAAAATCACTTTGCACATCAGAAAAGAAATTCTTTCAGAATTAGAATTTCAGAATTTTTAATTGATTTATTTTAAAATCAGTACTCTATTATTGGCATACAATAAAACCTATTGGAGAAATTAATTAAAAGTAATTTTTTTGATTATACCATCAGAGGTTTATTTTTAACCCACATAGAAATTAAACAGTAAAGTGCTGAAAAGAAAAGTGAAAAGTAAAATAGAAATCACCAGGAAAAATAAAAATAAGCAATTATTTTTATATATACATATATATAAACCAATAAATAAGCATTCTAGTTTTAGAATTCTTACAAAGATTGAAAATACTGGGATTCTACAAGTCAAAGCATTTTTCAAAGTAAATTTTTACTTCATTATGTTTAATACTGATAAATCTTTCATTATATTTAAGATAATAAAGAAGCATATTTTGGCTCACATAAATTTTCAAATGTGGTATTTCTAAAACTGACTGCATTACTAGGCAAATTCTTCAAATCAATTCACTGATCTTTTTTACTGAAGGATGCATTGGTTTGAAAATCAAAGACTTACGTCATCCAAAAAATCAATCAGTGAAGATGAGGAAGAAGAAAAGGAATCCTATTTAACGAATACAGCAGTAAAAAAATAGAAAATATGGATGAAGCAATTTAATAAGAACAAATAATAAATCAAAAATTTTGTAAAACAATTGAAAGGCAAATGACATTAATTCAAATAAATAAATGAGAAAAGCAGTCACTATCATTGTTCTTGAGAAACTTAAGAGATTCATTAATTACTTTTTAAAGAGTGATTCTTTTTCCTTTTCCTAAAGGAACGAAACACAATTCATATACTGTGCCCAAAATGTAATAAAATGAAGCTCATGACAAATAATTAACAATCAAATTAAATGTAAGTACTTTTGAAGTAACAACTAAAAGTAAGCAATGGAATTCCTGAGGCTTGTAAATCTTCCCACTGGAATGTAAGTTCTAGTGGGAAGGACTTTGTCTATTTTGGTTACTACTGTATCTCGAGCACTTACAACAGTGCCTTGCACAAAGCTACATGATTATTATTTGTTGAATAAAGATATAATCACACTTAAATTTACTGAGACAAAAATATACTTGATAACAGTAAGCTGATTTTTTTAAAGCAAAGAATTTAAATACTAAGAAATGATCAAATTACATAATCACAATTTCATTACTGTATGATCTGCCTAACAGGGTCAATGTAATACCTTTTAACGAAAAGCATTTCTTACTGTATAGTTTTTAAAAGAATTGATTTGAAATAAGAATCAGCAATACCTTATTGTCAGCTTTGACATTTTCTCACTTTTTATTGTGGCACTATGCTTTGGAGAATAAAAAAAATTGTCAAATTATTTCAAAAGTTGGGATTTGTTCTGCTCTTAATGTTTCTTAAGGGAAATGAAATTGCTTTTCAATCTTATAATGACTCTCATGATTAGATCTTTCTTAGATGTTTTGTTAAAAAGAGGTGGGATTATAGTCTCCATAAGGAAGCAGAACATATTCCTTTGCTAATATGTTTTTGTTTATTTAAGATTCTAGGTCCTCTCATGTGAGAAGCAATAAAACGGTTTTATTGTAAGTGAATTTTAAATTGACCCCAGAGGATATTTGGCATGTTTAATACTTACTTCAAATTGATCCAGAGCATCGGAAGGCGTATTCAAAAATGCCAAGAAAGAATGCTGTGAGTCTTGGTGCTCTATACCTAGAAGACAGCAGCAACTTTTTTTAAGGCTACAACAATTAAAACTGATTTTAATGGATAACCTTCCCTGTCTGAATCTATTAAAAGCATTTCACAAACTACTGTATTTCAAACCTGATCACTATTATTAACTCGACATTTAAACAAAACTAAAATACACTAGTGTTTCCAAGAATATCACTTAACAGTTCAATTATATCAGTTTCCATGAAACGCTTATTTAATTTACTGAGTTTCTTTCTTTTTGTGTATAGTAAATAATAAAAAAACACATTAAATCTTTTGGTAGGCTTGAGAGAATTTAAAAATAGGAGTCTGTTTATATCTGATTTTTCTAAGCTAATTTAACACCAAACAGGCTTCTGTTTTGAAATAGTCTTACCAAAGCATAGAGTAAGCACTAATACAAAAATCCTTTATAAGAAATTAATGCATTGATAAAACAAATACACTTAATTACAAAAAAGCTGTCAATCTGACTTCAGGTATTTTTTTATTGACAGGATGAAGACTCCAAACCCCAGTTTTTCTCAGATGAATTTTTAAAAATTCATACATATCTCTTGACTGTAGCATTAACTTTAAATGCACAATTTCCCAAATAATTCTTAAAACATACAAATAAAAATACCAGGTAGAAAAAAACCAGAAAACAGCCAATCCCACATTTTTTACTTCCATATGCTTAGGAATTGACATCAGCTGATTTGTGTTTTTCATATTACTATCTAATAACACATCTATTAGTATTACTATCTAAGACTATCTAATAACTGATAACATAGTTATCAGGTAAGGCAATATGTTCAGAAATTCATTCAAATATTGAAAGTGTGCCAGACACTGTTCTAGACACTTGGGGACATAACAGTAAATGAAGCATTAAAAACATCCTTGCCCTCATAATGTAAATATCACATTATATTACTGAAGTAGTAGCATACATTATGTTATACAATAAAATTTTGTTCTGCAATATTCAAAATCCAAATTTAAAAAATGTGGTAAACATGTCTTCATAATGTGATAAACTTAAGTCTCCTTCAAGTTTAGGTCTACTCTAAAAATGATACAATCAATGTTATCTGGCGTGCAAGTCATATTCTACACTAGTCTCTCTCCTATTTGCCATTGCGGCCACAAGTTGTCCATGTCTTATGTATTCTTTTTCTTTTCATCACTAAATAATGTATCTCCCTTCCAATTTTCATTAATTAAAACCTAGCTTGATTTTCATTTTGGCATGATGGCTTGTGCTCCTAATCTGAATTACTATTCACTTTTTCTGGGCTCCTTCCTTTTCTTGTTAATTAAGAAATTCAATCAACAAGAATTTATTGAGCATCAACTATCTATAAAGGTTTTTTCATGTTAGCTTCTTTATGTGATTACTCGCTGTTCTCCATCATTTTACATGCAGATGCAGAGACTCCACCAGTTTTATCTCACTGTGTTGCATGGCTGAGAAATGATAGAGAAGTACTTAGACCTAATGAAGCCCATTAACGAGTTCGGTATTCAGTGATGGCCGTTGTTAGAAAAATCAATTTCCAATAAATGCATATAAGATATCCCTTTATTTTAAAAATATCTATATTTCTTTTTATTAAATCTTCACATGCTTAACATCCACATTAAGGAAAGTTTAAGAAGTTCATGTAATACAGCTATCAAGCACTCTGACTAAGCTTTAACATGAATGGAAAAATGTTCAAGTAAAGTTTTCAAGAAAATGGTAATAAATCCGGGATATCCCACAGGACAAGCAATTTAAGTGTCAAACTGGAAGAAGACATTAAAATGCCCCCCCAAATTTTCCTTATTGAATTGCTCCATTAATACTAGATTAATCTTTAGCTATTTCATACATTGTTTCCTCAACTATCCTGAAAGTGTATCCCCCCCAAATTTTTATACATCTAGGCACATAAAAAGTGCTAAGAAATACTTGTTCAAGTACCCTTACCAAGTTCTGAATGTTAACACACATTGCCATTGTCAGAGTGATAACCTCATATTATAGCATTTGAGAATATTATAAAGTACATTACAAAATAAAATTTTTTTCCAATCACAAAAATGTTATTCATGAAGTAGTCCATGGCACTGAAAAAAACATCAAATTTATGGCAAAGTGTCTTTTTCTGTTACTATGAAATCTTTAAACAATGCATATTAAGTAAAACAAAATGACTCAGAGGCCAGTCTTCCAAATGTGTGTGTACGCACATGCATCATATATACACACATGTATTCATAAATGAGTGCCAGAATTGCTTATGTCAACAATTCTCCCACCTATGCAATGAACTGATTCTTCTGTAATAAAACATATTTATAACATAATAGTAAGTCCTGAGTAAGGCAAACACACACTCCCATACCCTTTTCAGATCTAAGCTCTTCAGTGTCCTTTATCAGTTGTTCGATTTCTGAGAGCAGTTCCAAGTTCTTCTTCTCTGAATCTTTTAGTTTACTTAAATAAGGAGAAAAAAGGAAAAATGTCATTTTTATTGCTGGTTACTGAGCCATCTTGGATGTAGCCAAACTTACGTGGTTTAAGTGTCAGGCATGGTAAATTAGGGGACTGTAAATTACGGCAGGAAGAACGAATACAGCCTGCTACCTACTTTCATGTAGACTAACAGTTTTACTAGAACACAGCCAATCTCATTCATTTAAGTATTAACTATGGCTGCTTTTACACTACAATAGTAGAGATGAGAAGTTGTGATGGAGGCTAATCAAAGCCTAAAATATTTACTAAGTGAACCTTTACAGAAAACATTTGCTGACCCTGAACTAAATTATTAAATTTAAAAATGTTATAAAATCAAAGGTTTATTTTAGAATTCTGTTAGACTTTGTTAGATATTATATCATTACAGGCAACCATGAAAGTGGAGCATATACAGGAGTAAGTTTATAATTTTTCAAACTGGCTCATCTTTCTGACTTATGAACAATATGTAAACTCATATGTCCTAGGTGTAAGGAGAAAAGATCTTACTTATTTCAAATCACAACACAGAGAATGACATTGATTAGCTCTTTATGCTGGGATGAAATTCACTTTCTCCAGGAAAAGTTTTCCCCTCCTCAATGCCACATAAGCACATTTAAGTAAAACATACAATGTCTGCATTAGTTATAGCAAAAAGCTTATAAACCAAAAGTTTATAATCCGACAGAGGTATCATGTATCTGGCCTTTGATATGATTAAAAAGATTAACAATTGCAGTTTAAGGACTATGAATATACACCATTAAAAGCTGAATTCATGGGCCTGCATTTCTTTTCAGGCTTTTGGAACTTTTGATATTCTCAGCAGTCAATGGATTTTCATATTTGTAGTTTCACTTGTGATGTGAAGTTTCTATTGTTCCTCTATGTCACGTAAACTGACTTATTTTGAACCATGTTTATAATCAATCTAATTGTGAATCATTTATGTATTCAGAGTATGATTCACTCTAGTGTTGTGACAAGAATTGAGGAAATGTGTTCATTAGCTAACTGCTTCAGAGACTGTGGGATATACTTTTTCTAAATACATAAGGAAACATGAAAAATAATAATTATACTTAGAAGATATTATACCATTGTGAAATGTGCCATCAATAGAATTTTCATTTATAAAACACCTAAAAGACCTATGGTAGAGGCCACAATTTTCAAATGATTATATTTTGTTCTCACCATACATTGTACTTTTATACAAATATAATATTCCTAAACATGAGAGAATTTTAGGTTTAATAAAATTTGAGTCAACTAAATTTTATAAATAAGAGGAAAAGTAAATAATGGATTATTATTTAATACTATTAATTCTACTTTATGGACAAGCCAGAGGAAAACAAGGCTATATTAAAACCTCACCACTATCTACAAGGTTTGAAAGCATCTATTTTCATCTATTTTTGAAAGCATCTATTTTCGTAACATATTTGGCCATCATTTTTCTAAAAGAAAGCAATGGAAACTAAACATGTAACTTCTCCACAAATGACTCTGACAAACTCAGAAATTATTCTAGTGGGACTATATTATTCAATCTTACCATTCTGTTATGATATTAGATGCTTTAACTTTATTCAACTCTTCTTGGATGGCCTGTTTGGCTCTTATTTCTGCATCCAGAGCTGACTGCAACTCCAGTCTAGCTGACATATCCAGTTTCGCAAAACGACGCATTTTCCAGGGCATATCCTATGAAATAATGACTGTGTTTTTAGTTCCATCCTATTTTTAACATTTAAATTATTACAGTTAACCAGCTGTGTCTTATGTTTTTCTAAACTGGAAAAGACCCAAACTAATCGTTTTCTCATAAAAAACTCTTTAGTAGGCTCAAAGTCTAAACAAACTGATACAAGTAACTGGATTTATTAGTGTTTTTTAAATCTCTTTTTTCTAATATGATGAGCCTCCATGCAAAATCATAGAAGCTTACTGTTGCTCGTGTACCCAAGCTGGAATTTCTTAATGCTTCCAATTCTTCAGTCATTTTAGAAGCTAAGGCCTGAAGATACCCTCGTGCATCCTTTTCATCGCTGACCCTAGAATACGTAAAGACAAAGTACAAAAGTAAAACAAAAAAGCTTCAGTGCAATATATGTTATTTTAAAGCTTCCTAAAGAAATAAGTGATAGGAAATTCAAAGATAGTCTTAAATAATTTCTTTGAAAAGGTCTACCATAGTATACTACCTGTCAGCAACTGGGAAGAGGTTTATGCAACTGCTCTTTTTATGTACATGGTAGAGCTGGTGAAGTTTACAAAAGTCCAAGTTACTCATAGCTGATAAATTAGTAAAACTTCACCCTTGAAACACAGAATTAACATTCTTTAAATCTAACAATTAACACAGATGCACACATGGGTGAGGTTTTCTAAATAATAAGATTTCTCATTAACTGAATTCCGTCATTTTACATCATAAAAACAACATACCATTCTTAAAACTGAAGTATATTAAATTTAGAAAGTTTAATGTATGATATTCTGCAAAAATCAGGGTTATATTGTAATTAAGCTCTTCTGTTTTCTAAAATGATCACTAAAATAACAAAGAGAGATTAAACTACCAAAACCCAATTTCTACTTACTGCCTTAAGGCTATCTAGCTGATGATACAATTATAATTTTAGATAGAAACTTTTCAAATTATATTTAGTAAGACAAATTCCGCACTTTAGAATTTCTCAAGAAAAAGTCTGCATTTCTTACACTTCCCTCAAGTGGTGAGAAGGTGAAAGGAGGAGTCTAGCATATCTACAAAAATCTACAAAAGAGGTCCTATTCTCAGGAAGAATGAAAACCACTGGTATAAAGAAAGCCATACTGCACAAAGAAAAAAAATGGAGTCGAAATTTGCAATGCTCACAAGTGTATTCTAAAAGACTTTGGGGAAGACAATTTGTCTTTGTGCAGGCTGGCAGTTTTCAGATAAAATCCATGTCACTGAAGCTACGAGGAAAGTATATTTCAGGTAAATCAGTATGTATCTGATGCATACAGCAGACATGTTTAACTCCTGAGCTGCTTTAGTATCTCTTAGAATGTAAACTCCTGAGGAGTCAAATTCATATATATCTTAAAGAGGCCCTTTAAACGAGGCTTGGTGCTCTCTTCTCTTAGATGGGAGGTTGTCTTTGGAGTACAAGCAAAAGAAAATATGGAGATGCAATAAAACCATTGTAAGAAGTTGTCCACTCTAGGGACAGTTACATATTCCTAGGCTCTATGTAAATGTAAATATTTTTATTGCCTGTTAAAGAAAAATGGTTTTAGAAATTATTTTAAGAATGTTTGTAGAGTAAGGGTTGTGTCCTTCTAAAATTATTTGATCACAAGTGACTGCAATCTTTTTACTTAATTACCTGGTATGTAGTATAGAGAATAAATTGGCATGAATGAAGATTATCTTTTTTAGAATACAAAAAGGTTACTTAAATGGTAACAATAAAGAAAACTGTATTATCTGTTAAGTGCCTAGGCTAACAGGGCTCAACTAGTGCTGGTTTAGTATCTACCATAGCTCAGAGATCTTAGTTTATGCATATTTCCAAGAAACTGTGAAGTCCAGTATGTTTTATTAACTTTGGAAATCAATTTCTTGTAAACTGACTTTAAGTTATCTGGAATTTTATATAACAATCTCTTTTTTCTAACTTTGCTTTTTATTTACATGTTGAACACATTTATTTACATGTTGAACACCTTACAACTGCAATCTTCCGCTAATTCCTAACTTTTGATTAAACCTACTTCTCTTTTTCTTGGCTATAGAGAATTACTGATTTGGAGGGTAACTCATGCCATTTAAGTTCCACTGGACGCTAGATCTCACACAGTTCCTTTTCATAATCATTGCTATTTGTCTATTTTTCAACCTCATTTAAAAAAAATATTGTTTCTCCAACCCCAACACTTTTTTTTTTTTTTTGAGAGAGAGAGAGAGTCTTGCTCCATTGCCCATGCCAGAGTACAGTGGCACAATCTCAGCTCACTGCAACATCCGTCTCCTGGATTCAAGCAATTCTCCTGCCTCAGCCTCTGTAGTAGCTGAGCTTACTGGCACATGCCACCATGCCTGGCTAATTTTTGTATTTTCAGTAGAGACGAGGCTTAGCCATATTGGCCAGGCTGGTCTTGAACTCCTGACCTCAGGTGATCCGCCCACCTCAGCCTCCCAAAGTGCTGGGATTACAGGCATGAGCCACCACACCCGGCCCTAACACTACCTCTTACTCCTTGCTTCTAAGCCATTTGGTTAAGTTTACTCATATTCCTTCTCTTAACTTTTAAAAACAGTTTTAGAGGTAGCTGTCTCATCTTTTATTTGGTTAAATCGTTCAAATACTTCTTAGTAACATAGTTATTATTACTATACATAATCACCCTCCCTACTACACCTTATATTTTCAATTTCATTATTTCCATTGGTTTCTTTAAACATGAACAAACTCTACCAAATACAAAAGTTCCCTGTCCTCCTCACTGACAAACCCCCAAACATCCCATTTTTCCCTCTTTCATTGTTCTACTACATACATGTAAGTGCTCTAGTATTAAACCCTCCATTCACTACTTTATACTTCCTGAAGTCTAATTCCTGCCTCAACTATTTTGCTGAAGCTAATCTGTTAAAACTCAACTACAGAAGGCCAACTTAGATCTATGTGTTCTCTTGGCACATTTAATCCTTCCCTTCCAAGTTCTCTCAAATAATCAATTAGTTAATACTTATTAAATACTATTACATTGGGCACATTAAGAAGACAAAAGAAGACAAATAAGGGACAGTTCCTGAAAAGTTGGTGCATATATTGTAATTAGGAACTTTGATTCTTAAGTCATACAGACCTGGTTTCAAATCCTAGCTCTGGTGCTTACCAGCTGTGTGACTTTGGCCAGGTTACTTCTCTAACTTTGTTATCCCATCTATAAAATGAGGATAGTAATAATACCTATCTCACAGAACTGGTGTAATAACTAAATAAGAATACATGTGAATTTCCAGCCTAATGACTGGAATACTCTTATGTTTTAATCAATAGAAGCTATTGCTATACACAAATGAGCATTACTGAATGAGGAATGTTTCAAATAATGTGAGTGGATTTAAATAAAGAAAGACAAAGGTTTCATTACTGAAACGCTTTGTAATCATTAAACCCTTCTCCTGGTTCTCCTGCAGAGCTGTTTCATCTAGCTTGTATCATATAGCCCTTACCATTCGCCTTCTTTCTTGTTTCCTTAAAAACATCTCAACCACTTCATTGGCTTTATTCAATAGGAATTCCATTCCCAAATTTACATTTCTAATCCTAACCTTTACGTTAGTTTTTCAAAAGCATATGAGAAACCTCTACTAAGATGCCTCAGGATCACCTCAGTCTCACCAACAAACAAAATAAAATAACAGATAAAATTGATTATATCATCTTCCCCAAGGGTGGTTACCTCTCTTAACTTTCCTACTTCAATGATGCCATCATTTTCTTAACCACCTTAACTCACAATTCAGGAATACTAATTTCTCCTCATCTCTCACCCTTCATTTATAAGTAGTATTAAGTCCTATAGATTTTTCTTTCACAACGTCTCCTGCATTTATTCACTTTATTTCCAACCTTACCATCTATTTCATCCTGAACATTACTGTTAAAAGCTATTTGCCTCATCATTATTTTAATTAATACCATTACCTTTGCAAAAAACCTTCTCCATCTTACAAATAAGTGAAGGTAAAATTCTTACCTAGTATTCATGACAATTGTGTTGCAGTAACTTTATTACTCTTATTTCCTACTATTCTTTTACATAAATTCCAATTTGGTCAAACTAGGTGTAGGATATTTTACTAAACTCAGGCTTTTCAGAAAACACTGTCTAGTTTAACTGACTGCTTCCACCCTTCTTGAGCAACTAGTCTGAGATAATTCCCTCAACACTGCATTCTTATTTTTAAAAAGTCAGTATCTATTCAATATGTAAGGCATTTATATTTAAGTCTTGTAAGTTATCGCCAGTTCTGGTCAAAATAGTTTTTAAACTTTAAATGTTAAGTTATAAGTTACTTAAAGGCAAGTACTACATTTATAGACCTCTGTATCTCTTATTGTACCAAAAGAATGCCTTATGTGAGGAAACACATTTAAAAAATAAATCTTATGGATTAGCCTATTAATCTAACCTCTCTTTGTAATATTATTTCAAAGAGAAAACGTGAAGTCCTCTGATGAGCCAGTGGTGAGAAGGAGGGTTCCTACTCTAACAGTGGTGAGAAGAAGATGTCCTTGCTCTAAAAGGGTTTCTTATGAAAGGGATATTTCATAGCAAAAGAGAGAGGAGGTGGAGTTCAAGAGCCATTAGAAGTGACTTCACATAAGGTTTTATATACTGTAGTATTTCTTTTATATTAAACTGTTCATTTGTCCCAGGAAACATTTAAGGTGCTGTATGTCATGAGGTCCTATAATCTTGTTTGAGCATTACTTCATTTTTTTAAAGCAGGTTTAGTACTTGTAATCTAAAAAATCCAAAATCTGAAATGCCCCCAAATCTGGAACTTTTTGAGTACTGACAAGATGCTTAAGTTTTTGGATTAGGGATGCTGAACTGTTAAGTATAATGCAAACTTCCTAAAATCCAAAAGAAATCCAAAATACTCTGGTCCTAAGCATTTTGAATAAGGAATACTTACTCTGTATACTAAACTCAAAAATGAAAATAACTCAGTCTTTCGACCTTTATAAACTTGGATATTGTATCTCACAGAGTTACCTTTCAAGTAGGTAAGAAAGTTGAACAGGGAATACATATTTTACTTTTTCCCTTGGGTATTTGCCAATCTGCTATCTAACAGTCCATTTCTAAATAAGAAGTGGGGTTAATAACAGCTTTTATGCAAAGTGACTTCCTTGTATTTCTGATTTCTGCATTTCGCTTGAATGTGAGAAGTGTATAATGAGTGTTTTGTGGCATCATATAAAACTTTCATCTTCACCCTTTCTATTAACCCTTTCTACAAAGCCCACATTGAAAGCTTCCTTCCATTACTAGAACCACTTCCTGTTCCAGCTCAAATCAGCATGCCTGACACTTGAAAAAATCAGAAGTCTAGGAACACAGGTTTTGACTCTGCCTTCTGAAAAGTCATTTTCAGCTCCATCTTAAATATATATTTGATAACATAAAAATGGAATTACAAATGGCAAGTCATAATTTTTGATATTATAAACTTGGTTAAAGATTAAAGTGGATTTTGCTTCAGAAATGCAGACTTGATGATATAGATGTAAATTAATGAACCAATAACTATACTGTCTGGAACCCAAATAAATTTCCACAATCTGCATATTCCCTTTATATGCACTGAATAGAAACATTATAAGCATAAGAGCTCTTAATGGAAAAGCATTTGAACCAAAATATGCGTATAGGAAATAAAATTCCCTACAAATGACTAATCTATAAATAAATGATGAAACTACAGGTTGGATATCCTTTATGTAAAATGCTTGAGACCAAAAGTATTTTGGATTTCAGGATTTTTTATGTTTTGGAGTTTGGAATACCTGAATATACATAATGAGGTTACCTTGGCAATGGGACCCAAGACAAAACACAAAATTTGTGTATGTTTTATATACACCTTATAAATATAGCCTGAAAGTAATTTTTTACAATGTTTTAGAATAATTTCTTGTGTATGAAACCAAGTTTTGACTGTGACCCATCCCAAAGTCAGGTCTAAAATTTTCTACTTGTGGTGTCATGTCAGCACTCAAAAAGTTTCACATTTTGAAATATTTCAATTTCAGATTTTCAGATTAGGAACGCTCAACCTGTATTTGTTTTGATATAAATTAAACACCTACCATTTGCCAAAAAGGATTTAAAAAGTTAAATAAATATAAAAAGTTAAGTTACCTATTTTTACTTGGAAATACAGTCTTCATTAGATTCTGCTTTCTCCATGTATTATTAAAATGAAATTTTTTACACGCACCAGAATAATGGTTTAATAAATGAATATGAAGGTTACTAACATGTATATTCCAAACGAAATCCCAAGAGCTTGAGAAAGAGCTGATAAAACTAAAATGTAACCATTTAAGGTTTTAAAAATGTCATGTGTGAATTAATCTGGTATAATCATGATAGATGGTAACAGTACAGTATCTTTAGCTTCTAAGTTTTTTGCAGGCCTTCCATTTCTTAAAATACTCACAAATACAGGAGTTTTGGTCTTAGAAAGAAACATCCACAGGTAGCAGATGAATTCCAACTTTGACTCTGGAGGTGGTAACATTTTCTTAGAAAGTAATAATCAATAATCAGATTACAATGAAGCTGTGTTAAATGCTGCTATGGGACATTTGTTAGAGTTAGGGAACAGAAGAACATAACAGAAAACACATTAGAACACAAATAACAGGTCAGTAATAAAATTGTGCTTTTCGAGTAACTTATTTATCATAGCTGACAAATGAGATAAAAACCATTATTAGTAGCCAAATGGAATTCACACCAACTTGGCCACATACTCACAATCATCCACAAAAGAACGTTTAAAAGAGCACTCACCACTGAATTATTTCTGTGATTTGGGCTTCCCAATGTGCAACTGATTCTTTCTTGTCTGCTAGATCTTTAACCTCTTCTTCTAACTGCTGGTTGTGTATACTTAAGTTCTCATACAAAGTAGTAAGCTGAAAGGTAGTTTTAAGACATGCATGACTTTAAGGACCAAGAATCCGAGATGTTCAGACAGGTATTGTCAAATTTGATTACTCAACATCATCTACCCAATAATGCTTGTCTTATTATAATAATCCCTTTTGCTCACTGAATTTGGATATCAAGTACTCTGAATTCTCCTGCTATCTTTGCTTCTTTCCTTACATTCTACAGTGACTTGGTTCTGTGAACATTCTCTACTTGGCTTAAGAATTGCCTATTTCTGTTTGAAATAACTTTTTTTTTTTTGGTCCAAAAAATGTCTTTATGTCATCTTTTCTTCTTTAAAGAAGCTTATAATTTCAAGCATATACAAAAATGGAAAATATAAATGAATTCCCATGAGCCCCACTACCTAATTTCAACAATGATTACTTCAACATCAATCTTGTTTCACTTGCATGCCTGTTCTTTTTTTTTTTTTTTTGAGACAGAGTTTTGTTCCTGTTGCCTAGGCTGGAGTACAATGGCGCGTTCTCGGCTCACTGCAACTTTTGCCTCCCGGGTTCAAGCGATTCTCCTGTCTCAGTCTCCCCAGTAGCTGGGATTACAGACATGCACCATCACGCCTGGCTAATTTTTTGTCTTTTTAGTAGAGATGGGGTTCCACCATGTTGGTCCGGCTGGTCTGAAACTCCTGACCTCAGAAGATTCGCCCACCTCAGCCTCCCAAAGTGCTGGGATTACAGGTGTGAGCCACCACACCTGGCCTATACGCCTGTTCTCTTATCCCCTCTTCCTGTATTATTCGGAAACAAATACTAGACATCATACAATGTTATCCATGCATATTGCTGTATGTATCTCTAAAAAATAAGGATCTCTCTTTTAAAATATAACCACCATAGCATCATACTACAAATTTCAGGAATTTCCTAACAGCACATAGGTAGTAATAGTTCAAGTTTCCACTTACTTCAACATATCGCAAAACTTAAGTTTGTTAAATTCAATCATGATACCAATAAGAAAACACAGCTGAATGGTTAATGGTTGGAGATATATACATATA